AAAAAAAAAAAAAAAGCAAAAAAAAAAAGCAACGTGTTCCAAAGAGGACAGTTTGGACTACTTGGGAACTAGAGGAATTTTGGGTGGGCTCAGGGGATGGGACTGCACCACCCACAACAGCAAAACATGGTTTCCCATGCGGATGACGGTTTATGCTCAAAGGCCACTCCCTGAACGGGAGGGGGTCGGGGTGGGGGGCTCCTCACCAAGTCAAACCTGACGCTGTGGCTTTGCACAAAGCAGGCCCAGGCCCCCAGTCTCTGCTTCTTCAGAGCAAACCAGACCATCTACAGCAGACTGAGATGAAAGCCAGGCTCCAGCCAGCCGGGGGGGGACATCTGCCCTTTTCTACACCCCCCCAGGCCCAGTTGGTCCCGTCCCCACTGCACGTTCTAGAAGAGACTCAGCGTAACGAGGGGTGCAGCCACAGGCAGTGTACACACAGACCCCCAGGAACGAGCCAAGGGAATCCCACCCTTATGTTCTTTTTGCAAATGGTTTAGGGACAAACGTGAATCACACGGTGGGCAACGAACAGGGCCATTTGGAGAGCGTTGATGTTGCTCATCCCATGCTGGATCACACTTAGCTACAGGAAAACATGGAGTGAGCAAGCCGAGGACTCGGCCTTCTGCTAATTGCAATTCCCTGGGTTTATCAGAAGGAACTTCACCCTCAGGCCTGCACCTGCCCCAGTGCTAATTCACAGAGCCACGGGATGGGCATTGTGGTGAAGAGCATCCCGGAGGACCGGCTCAATAGCAGGGAGATGGCTTGGATCTGAGAGTTAAAAGCCAGACAGTGGCAGGGGACCCCGAGTGCTCTAGTCAGGAACGCAGTGAAAGTCAGATGAGGCCTCCCCACATCAATTCTCTGACACTAATTCTGCTCTGCCTTGTCTCACATAAGTCACTGCCAGTGGACAGAGTCCACAGCATCCAGCAGCATGTATTTTGGTATGAGTTTGTGTGTGTGTGTGTGTGTGTGAGCCAACATCAGCCACCCCTCGCTTCACAACCACGCCCCCGGACCAGGTAAGGCAGGTAGGCCGGGCTCAGGACCACCCTGCAGCTCTGTGACTGTCCCAGCCCCAGCCCCGGGCACGTTTGTACAGCTGGGAACACTCAAACTGGGCTCATGAGCAGATTGGCTGTCATCTGGGGGATCCCAGGCCCAAACTGAGTAAGCCTACACAGAACTAAGTACAGCCCTCAGTGTTACACACACACACACACACACACACAGATGCTGATCCGACTCGCTGCTGCCAGACGGGCAGGACCCCTTTGAAGCTGCCATCGGGAATTCCTCCTCTTGGCCCACGTTCGTACCAAGAACTTCTCATCACAGGGTTGCTCATCTGCCAGGCTAAAAGGTGGTGACGGAGGGGCTGGAGGAGGCAAGGCAGAGCCAGGGGCATGGTGTCAGACGTCAAGCAGCTCCGACGGGGTGCTCCAGTGCCTAGGTTTTGTTTACGAGGGATCAGAAGCGTTTTCTCCTTGTGTCGTCTTAAAATAATATTGTGCGTTTCCTCGAGCTGAGTGTCTCTGCTTTTCCTGCTTATGATTCTTGCGGAACCACTTCCATCAGTTTCTGGCACAGGACTGTTGCAGAGACTATGGGGAAGAAAGCAAAGTACAGGTCAGAGATCACACGCAGGGGCCCAGCAAACGTCCTGGTCTCAGTTCACGATCCTCTGCCCCAGAAGGGCTGACCCACTGCCTCCCCACCGCCCTTCCAAGCAAGATCAGCCCAAAGGCAATTTAAGACTTGAAAGCAAACGAGCTGCAGGCTCCTCTCTCCTCACGCCCAGAACTGAAAGACGTAACACTGGGAGCTTTGCGAGGATGTTGTACTGCCCCGAGAGAGGCTCTGGCACTTCTTGACACCAGTTTCTAATTGCACAGCGATATGGGAACTATGCTGGGATGGCAGAACTGCAAGCAGCCAAAACTGAGTCAGGCACAAGAGCAGGAATGAGCAGAAAAAAATATGAGCCAACGCTTTTATTTCCTGTTTTGGAAACCTCAGCCCTGTGTGCACGCAGCTTCTTTAAAAGCTTGAGGACCCAGGGCAGGACCAACTCGGCATCCTGAACACAAGGCAAGGTCCGCTGCCTCGCACAGAGCAGGTGGAGAGCAAAGGAGGCATTTCAGATCCAAGTCTGCACAGGAGAGGTGCTAAACCGAAGTGACTTTTTAATCCTACCCATTACTTTTGGTGGCTAGTCCCCAAACACACCCGTGCTTTGTGCTGCTTCGCTGTGTGGAGATCACAAGATAGTCCTGCCAGGTAAAGCTAACACTAATTCTAAATACACACAAAGTCAAACTCAGATCAGTTGGTGATCAAATTATCTGCAATAGATGAATACACACATGTGTTTAAAGATCATATGTTTCTAACAGGACATTTGCAGAATTATCATTCAGTGTTCCCAGAATATTTTCTATATTCTCCTTACAAGCCTTTGGTGGTGGAAAACAATTAATATGGTAATTTGCCACCCATGCACTGCAGAAATGGCTTTTCCAGGAACTGGGCCTAATACTCAGAATTAAAAAGTGAGTGTGTGAGAGAGAGAGAGAGAGAGAGACGGGGAAAAAAAAAAAAAGAATAAACAAATGCTGAGCACTGTTGAAAGCCTTTTTCATAAAAAGCATCCAGCTAAGGCTGGGCATTTCTACTTGTCTGCTTTTCTAGGTCAGGCTGTTGTATGAGAGCTGGGAGGCAGATGGTGGAGTTTAGTTACTTGGACAACACAGATTGACTTTCTTGATTCAGTTGTTCAGACAGAGGTTACATGTGCCAAGCACAACCTCTCCATCCCTTCAAAACACACCGTGGTGTAGTGTCAGCTGTTGGAAAACCTTATATGAAGATACCTTAAAAATAAACCTTGCAGGAGAAAACGTCCAGGGGATTTTCCCCTCCCTCCGCTCTGCTGCCACATTTTGATGCCAAGGAGAGCTTCGACTGGATCAGAAATGTTAGCACTGGCTTGGTGATGGATTGGGATTAATTACAAATTTTCAGCAGACAAATTGAGGCCAACTGTGCTCAGACTGTTATGCTGTTACTTCTTTTCCCTTCCTACATCACTAGAAAGCGATTCTCTGTTGACAAAAGCCTTGACCCTGTGCTTTTACAGGAGGCAGAAGAAAGGCAGCAATGTGCTCAGCAAATTACACTCCCCTGCATAACAGCAACCCGTTTGCCAAGATGAAAAAACACCTGGTGGTATTTGGTCCAAACTTTGCAATTATTGCAAGTCAGGGTGCGTTTTGGGTGCTTGGTAGGTGAGGTAATCATCAGGTTAAAACTTGTTACCGTTAAAGAAGAATTGATCAGAGCCAAGACGTTGGAAGCCTCCACTACACGGAGGAGAGCCAGGGCTACCAGCTGTAGCGTGCTCACTGGGAAGCTGCTATTTTTGGAGCAAAAGTCAAGGCTGTACCCTTGGTCTTCACTGGTAACACTTACAGATGCCTTGGAGAACCCACTTGGGCTTGTTTTGCCACCAGACCCCGAAGAAGTAAACAGGGATCCCGCTGAAGATGATGGCAAAGCCAATCGCACATTCCTTCGGCGTCATCCAGAAGGACACAGCAATGAGGAACAAGCAGGCCAGGATGAAGAAAACGGGCAGGCAGATGTTCACCTAAAGAAGGACCCAAGAAGAGGTTAAAGGCTGGCTCTGGGGAACAGGGTGGTGCTTTCCAGTGAATTTTCTCTAGCTGTACAGCCCGGGAAAGGAAGGAGTTCACGTTCCGCCACAGAGCCCCGCTTGGATGGCGCTCCTGTCTGTCCCAGTGCTCTGAACAAGGGGACTGTGACCTTGAGCTGCCACGGGGAAGGCACTGATTTAGGCAGAGCTCTCCATCAACCCCGGAGAAAACAGATGTAAGGCCAACGTTTAACTTATACATTTAAAACCAGCAAAATGAAGGTGTGGCTTGCCAAGAGCCACGAGCCCTTCTCAGCACCTTTTTTTTTGGATCCTCATTCCATCCTTGAATGATTCCTTATAAAAAGCATCTGTACCAACAGCATCAAATTCAGCAGCAAGCACAGCACAAGCCGGAGCATCTTCCCAGCAGGTTCTCAGGGCACTCGGGCTACACGGCTCCGAGCAGGGCACCTGCTGAGAGCAGCCCAGCTTTTTGAAGAAAAAACAAAAAATAAAACACCCCGTAAAGAGTTACTTCGGGAAGGCACTGGTCCAGATCTGTCAGTCTGATCCTCTCTGGCTGCCTGTTGCCTGGCAGAGACCTGAGTGTGCTGGGGGATGAGTGAGAAACATGCCTTTAAGAAAGGCAGACACGCTTGTGGCTGACATGATCTTGGCCTCCTCCCAGATGGGACATGGTACTGCCAAGCTGGCCAAGGACAAAGAGAACAAAGTTCTCATCTCTGCAGGCGTGGGTTTGTCTGCTTTATTAAAAAACTATTTAAAGTGAATTCCATGATGGTACAGAGTGTTTCACTGAGGGCCACAGCCTATGATTTGTCCTGGGGAATATGTTAGTCATGGAGAGCTTCCCGCCGGGCTACCCCAGCAGAACACCCCAGAGCCCCCCTTCGCCCTGATGTCCCCATGGCCACGGCAGCTCTTTGTCCTCCTTGCACTGGCAGATTTCTGTGCAGCAGGGATGCCTGCGTTAGCTACAGCACAACATTTCCCCTGTACACTTGCAATCCCAGCCCCTCTTCGGTGCAGGACAAGCAGCCGAACTTGCTGAACCTTCCCTGAGGTGCTGAGAAGGGACTCGGGGAGGACCTGCCACAATTACCACACAGCTCTCACCTTGATGGGCCTTTCCAGCTCTGGCTTCTTATAACGCAGCCACATCATGCCGATGATGGCCAGAGCCACGCACAGCCAGTTGAAGAAGCTGAAGAAGTTAATGACTGAGAAAATGTTGTTGGAGAAGGCATAGAGCAGGGTCATGACGCACTGCATCCAGAAGTTACAACACTAAATACAGGTATTTTAGAAGAATTATCTACTAGGAAAAGAATCACGTTAATTATTTTTTACTTATTTAAGCTATTTTCGATTGGTGGCTGGAACGATGTCAAAACAACACAAACAAAACAAATTCCAAGAAGTGGAATATGAGGATACGATGAGAAGGAGAAGGGTCTACCCTCTCCTTTAGGTGCATGCAGGGCTGGCTGTGTCTGGAGGGGGTGCCCAAGCAGCCCCCACCTCCAACCACGCTGATGGGATCCCACCCCGGCCCGTTTCCCAGTACCAGGTCAATGCTCATCACCACAGCCCCAGGTGCTCACCGTAAAGATGAGGGACGGCACGGGAGTGAGGAGCCTGGGGTGGATCATAGACAGGATGGAAGGCAAGTGTCCTTCTCGGGATCCCACGAAGAACAGCCTGAGGTGGGGGAGACAGAGCAGTTATCACCCCTGCAACCCTCAGCCCCGGGCTGGGGTTTGTCTTCAGCACAAAACAAGTGGGGACAGCCCAAGCTCAGCCTAGGGAGGGCTGAGCCAGCAAGTCTGGAACGCCCAGGCTCCACGCAGATTTTCCACCTCAGGGGTGCCCTGCCCCACGCCAGCCCTGCCCTTTTGCTGTCACTGGTTCAGGAGTGGGGCCCTCCAGGGTCTGACCCCAGCACGGGGTGTTCTGCACATCCACAGTGGAAAGTCCCTGTCTTAGAAGGAAGGCTGGAGGCGGACAAGGAATGCAAGAAAAGATGTATTTATATCCTTTCTGGAGAGAGCAATTAAGTGACTTTCCTAAGACAACCTGGGAGATGTGTGTCAGAGCTGGAACCAGCTCCGTCCCTGTCCTGCCTTGTCCTTTCTCCCCTTTCTGGAGGGATTCTCAGCCCTGAAGTTTCATAACTTTCTGCTTTCCATTAAAGACACTTTCTCAGGCAACATCACTGAGCCTCAAGCCTGTGTTTGTTTATGTTCTAATAACTTCAACAGGACTTTGCCTGAGGAACAGAAGACTAAGACCATTGAAAGGGTTTCCTTTAAACTGGATATGGTTTTAAAGTCCCACTTTTTTTTTTTTCTCCACATTCCCCAGATGGCCTCCAGACCGTTTAGACTTTGTGTCTACCCACAGCCACTCTTTGGAGGACAACTCCAAATAAAGAGGCATTAAGCATGACTTGTAAACAAAAACCACAAAATTGAGCAAGAAACCTACCGGGAAGAAGTGAAGAGAGATCCATTAACAGATCCAAAGCACGATAAGCCAACAAAGACGGGTATGATCCAGGACATGACGCCAAGGTGGTAGTTCCCAAAATCCTAAATGTTGGGGCCACAAGACAAGATATTTCACACCCAGACTGTCCAAAAGAACAAAATCCTAAATGCGGGGCCACAAGACAAGATATTTCACACCCAGACTGTCCAAAAGAACTCACAGCTGCCTACACAGACTTAGTATTTGTAGAAATCTGAACAAATGACATGGCCTAGTGCCAAAGCTGTTAGGGAGTTTTCCATGCTGCCATTTGCTGCTCCTCCTTCCTGCAAAAGCGTATTGTGGAATTGCAAAAAAAAAAAAAAAATCAGCAGCAAGACCTGGAGATGTGGTTTTATATCATAAACTGCTTCACTCTAGTTTGATGCCAATGCTATCGTACTGATTTCAAGACTTGCAGAGGCACAACTAGAGTGATGTGACCAGGGCTGGCGGCTCCAGTAACTCAGCACCACGTAGGTGCAGGCTGGAGTGGGGGCTTGGTACTAACCCGAAGGATGAAGCAGCATCACCTGAACGGCCCAGACCAACTTCTGCTGGCCTGGGAGATGCCCCCTGAAGCACTGACCCATCCTGGTCCTACTCAGTTTACAAGGTCATCCCATGCTGCTCACTTCTGAAGCAAGCAGGATTTCTGACCGCAGTGGCATTTTAATTAATAGAAGTATTATTCTTCTCTCTTAATTAAAACAAGGAAGATACAGAGAGAGAGAACAATCTAGTTCAGCATTGACTGAATGACCTTTTCCCATAAATATCACGCCCTGGTAACTGATGATAAGTCATGAGGCCAGCAGCAACCTCGTGTATTTACGAATGAAGAGCAGCACTAACTGAGTGCCCACCCTCACTACTGTCTGTGATTAATCCCACTTGGTATCACGCTGTTCTTCCCTGCTCCCGTCACAGTTGCCTTTATCTCCTGTCAAACATCAGCTTTTTTGTAAGCAGCCCTGATCAGCCTGGAACAAACTAGATGTATGCAGAGATTGTAAGTCTGATTTAACCAGCCCTGGAAAACAGATGAGTCGCATCAGAAATGCACCTATCTTACCACAGCCACGGCTTCGGACGTCAGCATCTGGTCCGTCGACAGGGTCGTGAAGTAAGCCAAGTTTGTCAGCACATAAACCAGAGTGACTACAGGTAGCGAGATGATGATAGCCAGAGGCAGGTTTCTAGGAAGAAAACAGAAATCGTAATGGAGCGCTGCACTTCAGAGAAGAGAGCTCTGGATGCCGTGGGTTGGTGGCCCTTGGCGTTCTGCTCTTCTTTGGCTCTTCAGCATGTCCCGTTTCCCAGCTGCTCCCCTGAGAGAGGAGAAGATGCCCCCATGGGAACAGCCTGGAGGGTGGCAGATGTACTGTGGAGGATTATGGCAAAAGGGACTTTTTGCACGGAGAGACTCTGGCTGTCTGGGCAAGCAGTAATCCAAGATCACTGCAAAGGCAATTAATTAAAAATAACTCCCCGTGGCTCTTGCTAGCCAGTGGCATCAGCACATGTATTCTCTTCTGGGCAAAGGCGAAGTATTTGTGCAGGTGGGTTTCTTGTGGGAGAAGGGAACATCAGGGATTTAGTGGGCAGTTTTTAGGCTGTAACTCTGTGCAGCTGGCTGGACTGATGAAACTCAAAGAAAACGAGTTCAGACACAGTCTGAGTGGGTCTGTAAAGCCGAGGCTGCGTTGGTACAAATTTGCCTTTCCAAATAGTCTAACTTCATTTGCGAATGGAAACTGAAAAAAGAAACCCTGCTTGATGCCATGTATAATTGGTCTAGTGGAGCTCAAAGCCACAGGAGGAGAGAGTCAAATACCATGACTGCATTCAGGAGACATGAAAATAATTGCAAACTGCAAAAACCTTTTTATAACTCTGTTTGTCAAGGAAAGGGCATATCCAATCTTATGCTTCCCAGCAGGCACTAATCACTGCCAGGGCCAGCCAGGAATGGGTTCTTGCACAAGTGACCCTGAAGCTTGTATCGACAGCACCTCACAGGCACCTTCCCTGTGAGCAAAAATTGATTTATCGACAACGATTTATCAGCAAAAAATTATTTATCACCACCTGCTTTGGGGTGGCTCACCCTCACCTCACCAGGTCCCCTGTGTGACCCTGAAAGGCACGAGCAGTGCAGAAGGAGGGTATTGCTCAACAGAAGAGGAAGAGCACGTGACAAACGTATGTACACACAAATACTCTCGTGGGAGTTTACACAAGATAGTAATAAAGCCATGAGTGCTTCTTCCTTGCCTGTAATTCAGAGAGGTGCCATGCCAAGGAAGCAGGACTTTCCAACAACACTGATGATATTAGCATGACAGGAAAGCAACGTAAACAACAGCCCTTCTCATAGAGAGATCATTATTCCTCTTCCCCTATTCCAGGAAGGAATAATGCCATTAATTTATCTGTCTTCTATTCCCCTAGAAAAAGACCTTGGCTTCTGGGCTGATCTGCCTGGTGCAGGCAGGAGGAAGGGGCTTCCCCAGATCAAGAGGCTTTTCTCCCAGGGAAGTCATGGCAGGACACACACCTACCTGTAGGGATTGATCATCTCTTCCGTAACAAAATTCAAGTAATTCCTGTAATTTAAAAAGAACGGTGGTTAATTCTGGTTAGTCCATGGAATAAACCAAACCTTTATTTGTATTCATCTTCAAGGGAATTTTGGGAGGGGTAGACAGACTGACACCTGCAGTAAAACCTGTGATGGCTGATGCCCAGTCTGAGAGCTACAGCAGAAAACCTGTGAAGCAGGAGCCCTGGGGGTGCTGGTGGATCCAACACCCCATGCTGGCAGCTCCCCTGCAAGAGGAGGGGTGACTGCAGGTGAAGAGCTGCACCCACCCACGACAGGGCCACCCCTCCAGGCAACAAGGATGGCTGCAACTGGCCTGTTTTCATAGAATCCCAGAATCACCTGGGATGGAAAAGCCCCTGCAGCTCCTCCAGCCCAACCATGACCCTCACCCTGACCGTTCCCAACTCCCCCAGATCCCTCAGCGCTGGCTCAGCCCGACTCTTCAACCCCTCCAGGGATCCCGGGGACTCCCCCCTGCCCTGGGCAGCCCATTCCAACGCCCAACAGCCCCTTCTGCACAGAAATCCTTCCTCAGAGCCAGCCTGACCCTGCCCTGGGCAGCTTGAGGCCATTCCCTCGGGGCCTGGCGCTGGGGCCTTGGCTCCAGAGACTCATCCCCCCTCTCTGCCCCCTCCTGGCAGGGAGTTGCCGAGGGCCAGGAGGTCTCCCCTCAGCCTCCTCTTCTCCAGACTGAACCCCCCCAGTTCCCCCAGCCGCTCCCCAGCAGACCTGTGCTCCAGACCCTGCCCCAGCTCCGTTGCCCTTCTCTGGCCACGCTTGAGTCACTCAATGGCCTTTTTGGGGTGAGGGGCCCAAAACTGAACCCCCCCATCGAGGGGCGGCCTCCCCAGTGCCGAGCCCAGGGCTCAGATCCCTTCCAGCAAATTCACTTCACAGCAAATTGAGCGGGCTCCTTGTGCTTCCAAGTGCTCAACGGGACTGATAAAGAGCTTTAATTTGGTGCTCAAAGTAATCTGCTGGCACGTAGCACATCTCTGCGAGCTAAACCCACCCTGCTGCCTTCTCTCAACACACCGAGGAGCTGCACGAAGCATCATGGTGCCTCATCACCCACCGTCTGCTGCTGCTTCTAAACCCCATCATCACCTCCGCTTCCTCCTGCTTCTGTGTCCTGGCTGGAACCAGGGTGTGAAATACGACTGTTAACATTACTAGGCAAACCCAAAGCATCTGCCTCATTGTCCCGGTTACAAGAAAGACTCGGAAAGTCCTGGGCCACGCTCTTCCTGCAGACATGATCTAGGGACAGGGGAACGCACTGCAGCATTTAGCACTTTTCAGTGCAATCTTACCATCCTCCGTAGGCAAAGAGGCCGCTGTACAAAGCCAAGACGATGTTCCCCACACCTACTTTCGTGCCTTCGAAGGAGTGCTCGGGAGTCAGGTTTGTCACATCACCTGCAGCAAACAGAAACGGATTGATACAGACAGACTGTGAACCCCAAAAACCTTCACGGGTGTTGAAACAGAGAAACCTGGAGGCAAAAGCTGCTCTTCAGATACTTAATTGTTTCGGGTTATGCTGGAGAGCGTGTGTACATATTTCTAGTGGGCTGATTCCTCCAGTTTTACTGTTCTTGGTTCATCTGGAGTAAAGCCCCAAATGATCAGCCCCAAATCTTGTCTCGAGCAACCGGGCGTTCCTGAGTGCTCGGCCTCTCCCACAGGGCAACCTGCTATCACCAAGGTAATCTCCCTGATACTGCCCTGCGAAGAAAACGTTCTGGGAACCTTCCTGCTGGAAGATGCTATGAAAACAGATATTGTCACATTGTCCTCTCGACTGAAAGCTGCTTTCATTCGATAAAAACCCAGGATTTCCTCCACTTCCACCAACCACCCCATAAAGCAGAAACCCAGGATTTCCTCTAGTCCCACCAGCCACCTGATAAAGCAGAGGGTTATGGCAAACCCTTTGATTGTGGGAAGTCAGGTTCTTTGGGGCCTGAATATCAGAAGTTAGCTTCTTGAGGGCTTGAATATCTAAAGTTCCTGTTATGTATCTGCTTTTGAAATAAAAAGCCATAAATAGATCGTACCTTTGGTAAGAACTCTCCCGGAGGAGCCAAGGGTTTATTTATTTTGCTTTAAAATGCTCTGCAGTTGTTTTGTTCCCTGCCTTTTGATGTGGAGCCTGGGCGTAGGCCTGGGATGGCGAAGCCACACTCCCCCCGACCCCGACCCAGCGCTCCCCTGGGCCGGGACGGAAGCGGGGAGCCAGGCAGGATTCGACAGGGCACGTTTGCATCCAGGGAGCCCTGTCGAAGCCCATGTGATTCCTCTTAGGGCACAGATCTTTACTAATCACCCGAGCAAATGCATCACATGGCAGTCAGCAGGGTCTGGAGCTTAACCCTTCATCTCTGAGCACAAGGTACCCAGGACACGGGGCTGGGGAAAGGAGAGGGATGCTAATACACCAGGCATTTTGCCTCTGGCTGGCCTCTCTTCCCATCTCACGCTGGGAACTTTCACTCCCCTCTGCCACCAAAAGCCACTTTTGCAGGTGCTGGGTAACAAATAGGGGTGCTCGGACCTTTTTACGCCTTGCACTGGAAAAGGGGACTTTTCCCCAACAGCACTATCAGTCTCCTCATTCATGGGGCTTCTTCTCAAGTGACCGCTCCAAATCCGTCCAGTGACACGGAGCTGCCCTGTGCGTGGGGGAGAGCCACATCTTGTCTTTCCCCCTCTCTACCTGATCCTTCAGCTCTATCCCCATCCTTCCCATCCCGGGCATTGCTCCTTTTATCTCCTTTCTCCCTCCTGCTCCTGCTGAGTCCTAACTAGGGCAAAGATATTCCCTGACATGGCAAAACGCTCTCTGCTCACAAAGTTCCCCAGGAAACCAGCATCCCTCTGCCTTCTTCCTCTGCACAGGGGATGCTGTGGGTGTGAGCTGCAAAAGAGCCAGAACCAGAGCAGCAGCTCATGCGCTGGGCAGCAGTGCACCCAGCACAGCTACAGCAGCAGATTTTCAAGGCTCGACTTGTCCAGGTCCCACTGCAGATTGTTCCACTGGTGTCGCCTTCCCTCTCTCCCCCAGCAGCTCCTTGCACTAGGAAGGTCTCTCCCGAATCTGCCCTGGGATGTGCTGGTTGTACTGAACGTCCCGTTAGCCAGTCAGTCTCCTCGGCAAAACGCACCAATGCTTTTTAAAAAGTGAGGTCAGACAACGTACACCAGGTTGTAAGAGGAAAGCCAGGAAATGCAGAGAGACTGATGCCATGCCATGCATTTAACCTTAATTCCTGGCTTATAGGTTCAGTCATATAATCTTAATTTAGCATTAATGCCCTGGCCTGGCTGTAAATGAAAAGGCTGAGCAGGAGGTGGGTGTGCGCAGTATCACATTCTGCTGAATCCCTTGGGCTCAGCTTTACTGAGTTTATTTTCTCCCACTGCTGAATAATTACCAGGCTAGTTCTTTCCAGGTCTTTTGTTATGGGAGTAAGATACACTTTTTTGTTAACCATGACTGTAATTAGCTACTGGCACAGCACATGGATGGACTGGGAGAGCTCTCCAGGAGTTTCAAACACCCCTCAGGATGTCTCTTTAAGGTTTGCTGTGCTCGGCCCAGTCCCCCCACCCTGGGCTGAGGAACCACCAGTTTTAGCACATCAGGAGGATGTTGTGATCTGGGCACAAGCAGCATCCCGCCACGGGCTCACACCTCCATTTCTTGTCCACACCTGGACACCAGCTTCCACCAAAAGCCTCTTTCTGTTCGTCACAGACAAAAAGCTCTCAGGCCAAATGTTCCTTTTTCTGAGACATCTGCAGGTTTCGCTCTGTGCCGTCCCAAACCTCGCACAGCAGGCGGGTGGTGGTGCCGCTGAGGCAGGGCTGAGCTGCCGCCCTCGCCCAGCTGGCCAGGAGAGGAGAGCGGGCTGGTGGTCCCCAGACTGAAACCACACGCCTGGATTCAGGATGTGCCACCCGCTTGGGAGCCCACGGGCATCTTCAGCCTCTGGGCAAGGAATGGCCCAAAGCCTGATTCGGTGGCCGGTTGGGCTGTACAGACACTGGCTGTGAGTCAGGGCTGCTGCCCTCCAGCCACACGAGCCAGGAGGAGGGAGAGGCCGCACGGGACCGCTCCGGGAGCAGCACTGAAGCAAAGAAATAAAACCAGCCTGACATTTCATTATGCTGTGGGTGGGCCGGGGTGATGGAGGGAGGGATGGATGGGTGGGATGTAGCTAATTACTCGCACACCTCTTCCTTGCAGGTGCCGCTGCACACACCAAACCCATCTCTTTGAAGCACCGAAATGCAGCTACAGGCAAAGGAGGGGCAAGTCAGGGTGGAGGCAGCCAGGAGAGGAGACTAGGTAGGAAGGAAGGGGCTCTTTGTTCCTTCTTAACTCTTGAAAAGCTGACACCTCATTGTCCTCTCCCTGCCTCACCCAGCAAGAGTTGTAGCTCTCCAAAAACTTGCAGTGGGTTGCCAGACTTCACATCTTTAAGCTCCCATGGTAAAATGCATTTAGCAACATCTCAGAACATGATTAAATAACCACAGGAGCTGATATCTTCCTCTTCCAACCCCAAGGGGACAAACTCGTGTTCTCAGGTGCCCACATCTTTGCCACGAATTTTGCTTCTTTCATGCTTTACCACTTCTTGGTTGCATGCCAGGAGCTGGGCTCCTTAGATCCCATCCCAGCAGAGCAGCCGTCCTGTCCCACCATCACCACAAAGCTCTGTCCCACCCTGCCAGCCAGAGAATCACCAGAAAGATAATAATTTGTGCCCGCCAGCAATGCCTCTACAGAAATAACTGGCACCAGATTATACATCTTGGGGTAAAAAAGCCAAACTCCAACAGCGATGCTGGAAAGGTATCCCAGATATGTTCCCACACGGGCCAAGTTGTAGAACACAGTGGGTGAGCTCTGGCTGTGCCTGCAAATCCTTGGGAGAGAAACCCATTGCACAGCGGTACCTCCTCTGCCACAGAGGACCCAGAGGTGCACTGGAGGCTGAGAAAGCGCCCAGGAAACACCACGTGTCCTCCCTGTCCTTACACTTAGCACTGATGCTTGCTGCTGGCCCCAGCTGGAGACTGGGGATACTGGGCAGACGGTCCAGCACGGTCCTTGTTACTTCCTTCCTTGACTATAACACCCCTGAGGACCTGCTGTTCAAAATGGAGGTTTGAACCTCAGTTCCAGGCACTGCATGTTTCAAGCCTGAACGTGCAACTCCAGCCTCCAGACTTCGGAAGCTTGAACTGCAGACTTTGGCTCAAATCAGGGGTTACAAATCCGCAGGTGAGGCTGCCAAGCACAGCCTCGACTGCCCCCCTGGAGCGAGAGCATCCCGGGCGAAGCCACGCTCTGCCCACGCTCCCGGCTGCCCCGTCCTCCCCAGCCCGTGCAGCCCCAGCTGCTCTCTAGGCAATGCCCTGCCCGTGCCCGGCACCCTGGAGATCTGAAACCTGGTTTGAACTGGCTGTTCAATGCACTCTGCTCTACAATTAACCAAATTAAGGTAACAAGCTCTGACATAAACCCCATTTGCTGATCTTGCCAGCTGCCAAGACTCTGGTAATTGCGCTGGCAAGCGATGGGTCACCTGGGGCCTTTCTGCTGGAGGGACCTAGTTTGGGTCCATGCACTGCGTGTTCAGACCCTTTCTTTGAAAATGTTCATTTGCTCCCCAGTCATGTCCATTCCAGTTTTAATAGCACAGCAATCTTCTCTTGCAGAAAACATTTAATGATAATTAAATATTTTTAACTTGCCTAAACAGCGAGGAGAGGGAACACAGCCATCTAGAGAGCTCAGCAGAAAAAGGGGGCGGCCCTCAGCGTGTCTCGCTCGTGGAAGAACCCGAGCCAGGGAGAAATGTGTTGTATATACGAAAAACCCCAGAGGAGATGATCTACTCAGCCATTGAGCCATTTCCTGAGACAAGCAGGGAGAGTTCAATTGACTGAGTCAGAAAAAACAAGACAGCAAGGAACACGCCGGGGCCAGGGGTAGGAGAGCATCCGCTGGGCAGCTCGTGGCTCGGCGGGAAGCACGTGCTCCGTAGCCACATCAGCTGTTTGCTCCTCCCTGGTCGCAGAGGAGTTTATGGGTCTGAAAATGTCTTCTCCAGGGTGAGGCCAAGGGTCTGGGCTCCTGGATTCACTCCACACAGTACTCAAGCTTCACAACTCCTCCTTTTGCAGTGGATGCTTCTTGGGCCAGACTGTTTTTTACCTTTCTCACCTACTCTGCATCCTACTGATACCTCTGAAAAACCTTTTACCCTCCTCCACCTAAGCAAACACCTCTTGATTTTCACAGCCTCCGTGTCTGCCGGCATAAATGTTTGCTGATGAGAGAAATAAAGCAGCAGACAGAGCCTTGGAGCGATGCACAATGTGCAAAACCGTGCCTCCTCCAG